TTATTTGTGTATTTTAGGCCGTCTACACATTTCCATATAAATTTTGGAATCAACTAGTTAAATACACACACCTGATAGAAATGTTTTTGGAATTGCATTGAATCTATAGATTGGGGAGAATCGAATCTTTACAATATTGACTCATCCAATGAAAAGAGATATTCTCTCATTCAGTTAGGTCTCCTTCCATTTCTCTTTACAATGTTTTCTTATTTTCTGTGTAGAAAGCTTGCATATTTTTGATGAGATTTATTCCTACATATTTGATATGTTGTGGTTATTGAAATGATATCCCTTTAAAGTGTTTATTTTCTAAATGTTGATCTAAATGCAGTTCATTTTATTTATCAATCTTGTAATTCGCAACTTGACTAAACTCACTTTTTATTTTTTTGAGATAGGGTCTCATTCTGTCACCCAGGCTGGAGTGCAGTGACGCGATCATGGCTCACTGCAGCTTCAACCTCCGGGGGCTCAGGAAATCCTCCCACATCAGCCTCCCAAGTAGCTAGGACTGCAGGCAGGTGCCACCACGCCCAGCTAATTTTTTGATTTTTTTGTACAGACAGGGTTTTGCCATGTTGCCGAGTTTGTTCTCAAACTCTTGGGCTCAAGTGATCTGCCAGCCTCAGCCTCCGCCTCCCAAAATGCTAGGATTACAGGCCTGAGCCACAGTACCCAGCCTAAACTCACTTATTAGTTCTACTAAATTATCTATAGATTCTTTTGGATTTTATAGTACATGATTATATCATGTGAAAATAATAAATTGTATTTTTTCCTTTTCAGTCATGTTTTTCCCCTACCACTGGCTAGAACCTTCATTACAGTGTAGAATTAGAAGTGGCAATAGCAGCCATCAATGTACACTTCTATTCTCAAAGGAAAAGCTTTCAGCGTCTCTCCAATTGCTTTAGGAGCGTGTGTGTGTGTGTGTGTGTGTTAGCTACCATTTATCAGATTAAGAAATTCCTCAGGCCAGGCGCGGTGGCTCACGCCTGTAATCCCAGCACTTTGGGAGGCTGAGGTGGGCGGATCACGAGGTCAGGAGATCAAGACCATCCTGGCTAACACGGTGAAACTCCGTCTCTACTGAAAATACAAAAAATTAGCCGGGCGTGGTGGTGGGCGCCTGTGGTCCCAGCTACTCGGGAGGCTGAAGCAGGAGAATGGCGTGAACCCGGGAGGCGGAGCTTGCAGTGAGCCTAGATCGCGCCACTGCACTCCAGCCTGGGCGACAGAGCGAGACTCCATCTCAAAAAAAAAAAGAAAAAGAAATTCCTCAGCCGGGTGCCATGGCTTATGCCTGTAATCCCAGCACTTTGGGAGGCCCAGTGGGGTCGATCACTTCCGACCAGCCTAGGCAACAGGATGAAACCCCGTCTCTAATCCCGTCTCTACGAAAAAATAAAAACAACCAGGTGTGGTGGTGCATGCCTGTAATACCGGCTACTCCAGAGGAGCTTGAACTCAGGAGGCAGAGGTTGCAGTCAGCCAAGATCGCACCACTGCGCTCCAGCCTAGGTGACCGAGTGAGACATTTGCTCAAAAAAAAAAAAAAAAAGAAAAAGAAAAAAGAAAAAGAAAAGAAAAAACAATGTCTTTAGTTTGCTGAGAGGTTTTTTTTTTTTTTAATAATGAATGGATGTTGAATTTTTCCAGATTTTTCTGAATCTTTGAGATGATAATTTTTCCCATTTATCTGATAAATAAATGTGGTTAATTACATGATTAAGTGGTAAACCAACATATTTCTGGAATAAATACAATTGAGTTTTGCTATACTATTTTATTAATTATTAAAATATTTTATTATTAAATTCCTGGATTCTATTTGTTAATATTTTGTTTAGGATTTTCAAATTCATGTCATCAGTGTGATTGGTTATAATTTTCCTTTCTCATAGTTTTTTCAAATCTTGGCTTCATGAAATGAGTTAGATTTCATTTTCTCAGTTTTTATTCCCTGGATGAATTTATGCATGCTAATTTTTTTTCTTCTTAAGTGTACAGTGAAATTCACCAGTGAAGCTACATTGGTCTAGAGTTTTCTCTGGGGAGAAGTTTTTAAATTATGGCTCAGTTTCATATATAGAATTTTTTTTTTTTTTTTTTTTTTTTTGAGACAGAGTCTCGCTCAGTCGCCCAGGCTGGAGTGCAGTGGCGTGATCTCAGCTCACTGCAAGCTCCGCCTCCTGGGTTTACGCCATTCTCTGGCCTCAGCCTCCCAAGTAGCTGGGACTACAGGTGCCCGCCACCACGCCTGGCTAGTTTTTTGTATTTTTAGTAGGGACGGGGTTTCACCGTGTTAGCCAGGATGGTCTGGATCTGCTGACCTCGTGATCCGCCCGCCTCGGCCTCCCAAAATGCTGGGATTACAGGCATAAGCCACCGCGCCTGGCCTATAGAATTTTTTATAATTTTATTTCCTTAGCCCGTTTTCGTAGGTTATAGTTTTCCCAGCATTTGTCCATTTAATCTACGTTTGCGAATGTCTTGGCATCAAATTATTCACAATATCATTTTATCATTTTAATGTCTACAGAGGCATTCCCTTTTTATTCCTTGCGTTACTTTCTTGGTGCCTTCTCCCTTTTTTTCTTTTGATTAGTCTCACCAGGGAATTATCAATTTTACTAGTCTTTTAAAAGTAACAGATTTTTGGCCTTACTGATGGTCTCTATTATTTATTTTTTATTTCATCGATTAGTATTATATTAGTATTTTCTTCTGTATTCCTTGGGTTAATTTGTTCTTTTCCTGACTTCTTAAGATGAATAATTCTTAGAGTGTCGACCACTCTGTTTTCTATTTAGCATTTACGGCTACACATTTTCTTCTAAGAATTGCTTTAGCTTCATCCCACAAATTTTCATATGTAATATTTTCATTTTACTGGGTTCAAATTATTTTCCAGTTTTCACTGTGCTTGGTGTTTTGTTTTGACCCATGAGTTATGTGGAAGCATACTTCCTTATTTCCAAACATAGGAGACTTTTGTATTTATCTTTAAGTTTTTTATTTCTGAGGCCAGGCGCAGTGGCTCACATCTGTAATCCCAGCAATTTGGGAGGCTGAAGAGGTGGTTTACCTGAGGTCAGGAGTTCGAGACCAGCCTGACCAACATGGAGAAACCTCGTCTCTACTAAAAATACAAAAATTTGTAGGTTTGGTCACTTCACATAATCTCATATTTCTCAAAGACTTTCTTCACTTTTTAAAAATATTTTTTCTTTATTTTTGTTTGACTGCATTAGTTCAAAAGACCAGTCTTCAATCTCTGAGATTATGTCCTCTACTTGGTCCAGTCTATTGATAAATCTTTCCATTGTATTTTGAAATCCTTAAGTGAGTTTTTTTATTTCCAGAAGTTCTGATTGATTTCTTTTTAAGATGTTCATCTCTTCCTTCATTTGCTGAATTGATTTAGAAGTTTCTTTTGGTGATTTCAACCTTGAATCTCATTGAGCTTCCTTGGAACCCATGCTTTGAATTCTTTATTGTCATTTCTGAGTTTTCATTTTGGTAGAAAGCATTGCCAGAGAGCTAGTGTGATCCTTTGGTGGTGTCACTACATGCAGGTTTTTCATGGTGTCAGAATTCTTGCACTGCTTCTTCTCATCTGGAGATGCTAGCACTTCTAATTTTTCTAATTGTTTTTATGTGGGTAGGATTTTTTCTTTTTCTTTTCTTTCCTGTATTATTATTATTATTATTATTATTATTATTATTATTATTATTATTATTATTTTTCTTCTTTCCCTTTCCTTCCTTCCTAGGTGATGTGACTGTAGAGCAATGCTAGGTAGGTCTTTCAGCATTGCTTCTGTATGCACTTCTATCAGCAGGTTTATATTGGGTATGTGTTTGACCTAGAAGCCAGTAGATGGCGCCAATGGGTAAGAGCTGGCTGTGGCCGGTGGTGCTGGCTATATACTTGATTCTTGTTTATTGGGAGGAACTCTCTGTTGCTGATTCCTAGAGAACACATTAATCTGAGCTCCCTCCTAAGCCCTAGCGGAACGGGGGTTAGGTCGGGTTGGGAGGGGAAGATGGGTGGAGCCAGATGGGGAAGGTTCCCTAGTGTTGTCCTGCTCTCAGCCCAGGTTTGGGAAAATGCCTGCAGCTTTTCCTTGTGTCTTTCCCTCACAAAGTCTCCAAGCCTCTCGTTAAATTAGCTCCAGGACTCGGGAGAAACAGTGCTCTTCCTGGGTCCGGGTTGCTTGGATCCCCAGTGGAAAGAGGGATGCTGTCTGCCTCTCGCACATACTGAGGCTTCATTCACTTTTGTCAGTCGAATGTTGTCACACAAGACCTGTTTGCCTGCATTGTCCTCCCAAGGATCTGGAGTGTCCTTCATAATTCCAGGGAGTTGTCGTTTCTTTCTTGAGTTAAAGCTTACAGAGTTGATCTTTATATACTATCTTGCTATTTCCAAATGCCCGAGGCATGCTAAAAGCCTGTAATCTGCCATCTTGGAAAAAAAGCATCCTTGCATTCTTAAGAGAAATGGCACTTGGTATTGATACATGGTGCTTCTACATTGCTGAATTCACTTTGAAAAAAAATATATATTTTTGTATCTACATTTATATGTGAGACTGGTGTAAAGTAATCATCTACTGTATTTATGCAGTTTTAGAACCAGCTATATTAGTGTTACTAAATGAGTTGGGAATTTTTCTTTTTTACTATTATCCAAAAGAATTTATATAAGACACGAATTATTGCTTTCGAATAGATTTTGTAAAAATCTCATCTTGTTCCTTCGTGGAGAGGTGGTGAGAAATATTTTTACCGTACATGTAATTTATTTTCCACCTGTGGGGCAGAGATTGCAATGAGCTGAGATCACGCCACTGCACTGCAGCCTGGGTGACACAGCGAGACACTGTCCCCCCAAAAAAAGAAAGAAAATCAACTTAAAATGAACCCGTTGAATATTTGAGTGTATTTTTACACCAAGCATGTCCCTTGAACTAACTTCTTTTCTTTTCTAGGAAGAACTGGAACTATGGTTTGTGCCTGCCTGATTGCCACTGAAATATTTTTAACTGCAGAGGTATGAAAGATGTTACCACAGACTTTGTCTTATGATGACTGAGTTTGCTAGTTCTGAAACATCAGGGGTAGGATGTTAAGATGATTATTTTAGTCATGGTGCTCAGTGAAATTGTAATTGGAGAAGTGGTTGTTAAAAAGTCTGTTTTTGATACTTCCTTGTTTAACATGCATTAGTTAGTAGCTGGCTTAAGAATCTCTTTGGGCCAGCAGTAGAGTGAGGTCAATGAGACGCAAAATTTAAGAGAATGCTAAAAATTGCAATAATTAAAATAAATGATTTTTAATGCAATATTTAAAAAATGAAAATTAATGCAAAAAAATTATGAGGTACACAATATCAACATTTTAAATAAAAACAAGACCTGATGGGGCAGGATTAAGGTGAGGGGAGTAAAGCCATGTTACACAGATACAAAAAACATTCAGTAATCACAGTAGTTCCCTCACCTCACCTGGCCCTGCTCTTACTCCTGCCAGTACCATGACTTCTTCCTTCCTCATGAGAATAGTATCAAGCTGAATTAGATAAATCCTCCAAAGGGTCTTGACCACCCTCACAACGCTTAGGTAGATAAAAAGCAAGATTTCACAACTCAAAGCCTCTCCTGCATGTAACTATCTCTGCTTAGTCAACACATGTGGAATCTGTGACCTCTAGAAATTTCTGATAAGACAAGGTGGGCTGTTTCCACCTAAAGCAGTGTTCTCCGTCATTTTTCCTTCTGCCATTTTCTTGGTGAGATGCTACGATTTCCAGCAGCTCCACTCAAGTTGTTTGGCCTACAGTCTAGGGAAGAAGTGGTGGTTATGCACAATGACCAGCACTCTAATTCCACCACCTTTGGTTTTTCTAATTTGAGACACACAGATTTTGAAAACGGATGTTCTAGGATGGTGTTTTTCAAGCTATGGATCATGATTTATCAGTGAGTTGTAAAATAAAGTTGCTGGGTTGTGACTAACATCTCTTAAAAATAAAATGGAATTGGCCGGGCGTGGTGTCTCATACCTGTAATCCCAGCACTTTGGGAGGCCGAGGCAGATGGATCACCCAAGGTTGGGAGTTTGAGACTGGCCCGGCCAACATGGAGAAACCCTGTCTCTACTAAAAATACAAAATTATCTGGGCGTTGTGGCGCATGCCTGTAATCCCAGATACTCAGGAGGCTGAGGCAGAAGAATCACTTGAACCCAGGAGGCGGAGGTTATGGTGAGCTGAGATCGGGCCATAGCACTCCAGCCTGGGCAACAAGAGCGAAACTCTGTCTCAAAAAAAAAAGACAAAAACAAAAAACTAAAACTAAAAATAAAATGGAATAGAGCAGAATAGAAAATATCAAAAGGTTTAAGTATTGGTGTGTGTGTGTGTGTGCACATTTCCTAGGTTTATTAATGTGGATTGCAACTTAAAAAATGAAAAGTTTGAAAGCCACTGATATGGAGCCCTAGACTGAGAACCAGAGACTTGTATTCCAGGTCTGTGCTGCCTCTAACTGGCTGCAGCATCTCCATGGCAGATTGTGTAGTTTTCTTTTGGTCTCGGTCTTCTCATTTGTAAGATGGAAAGAAGGGTTGGACCAGATGATTTCTAAGGTCTTTCCAGCTCTAAAATTTTATGTCTTTACGAAACCTTGAATGAGAGAAGTCTTTGACGTGACTTTGTTAATTTTGGTAACTTGGGTAGCCTTTACCAAAAGACCACTGCGGCTGGGTGCGTTGGCTCATGCCTGTAATCTCAGCACTTTGGGAGGCTAAGGCAGGTGGATCTCTTGAGTCAGAAGTTCGAGACCAGCCTGGCCAACATGGCAAAGCCCCCATCTCTACTAAAAATACAAAAAATTAGCCATTTGTGTGGTACACGCCTGTAGTCTCAGCTACTGAGGAGGCTGAGGCAGGATTGAACCCAAGAGGCAGAGGTTGCAGTGAGGTGAGATTCTGCCACTACACTCTAGTGTGGGTGACAGAGCAAGACTCCATGAAAAAAAAAAAAAATCACTGGCTTTAGGAAAGAAGGTGGTTTTAGAAAGACTAAAGGTACCTAATATAGAAAAGGAAAGAGTGCAGGTGAACCATGGTTCCTTTTTTGTAGGAAAGCTTGTACTATTTTGGAGAACGGCGAACAGATAAAACCAATGGCACTAAATATCAGGGAGTAGAGACTCCTTCTCAGGTAAGTTTTCTTTTTAAGAAGGGGAGCTTTTATAGGGGAGTGGGTTAAGATTGCCACCTGTTATTTGGTTTCATTTTAGACTCTTCTCCTTTGGTGATCGGGCAGCAGCATTTGGGCGCCCTGCGACAGGCCTTGGTCCCTCCCTGAGGCTGAGGGTCATGCTTCAGGTGCCAGCCACACGTTGGGGGGTGTGGCTTTTCCTCAGAGCACCTGCGTTCTATTCTATACTGGTTATTGTTTATGGAGCTCAGGAGTTGATTATTTTCCCAAAGCAGGAAGGTCCAATACCTAAAGCTCCAGGACCCTGAAGTTTATCTAAAATCACTAGCCTTTGATTTCAATGTAAAAAAGATCTAAGTCTTCCACAAATCCTTACTAGGGCAATTCAACCCTTGCAGAACATCACAAAGACTGTTTTTGGATGACTCCCCTGTGTGCGTGTGCGTGTGCGTGTGCGTGTGCGTGTGCGTGTGTGTGTGTGTGTGTGTGTGTGTGTTGTGGGGGAGGTGTATTTTAAAAGAGAAAGAAAAGGGGAAATAAACTTTTCAAAAACCCTTTTATATACACCAGACAGTACCGCACTTTTACATATCTCACTGAAAACCCATAACACCTATATGAAACATACAGTTACTCTATTTTTTAAAAAAAATAATTTCGTTATGGAAAATTTTAATTATATACAAAAGTCCAGAGAATCATACAATATATCTCCGTATAGTCATCACTTCACTGCAATAATCACTTCAGCCTGCAATCAGCCACGTTTCATCCATACTTTTCCCACTCTACTCACACTCCCAACTCCACTTTCCACTCTTGCTTTCCCTACACCTGGATTATTTGGAAGGAAATTTCAGTTGTCAGGCATTTTATCCCACAAGTATTTTAATATTATATCTAAGTACTCTTAAAATAACAAAAAACCCATAATACCTTTTATCATATCTAAAATATTACACCTTAAAAAATCCTTAATATCAAATTTCTAGTCTATGTTTGTTTCCAAAATTGTCTTAAAATCTTTGAAAATTTAGTTTGTTTCAGTCAGAATTCAAACAACATCCATACATTTCATTTGGCTGCTATGTCTCCTAAGTCTCTTTTACTTCATAGATTCTTGCCATTTTTTATTACTTGTAATTGGTTTACTGCAGAAACCAGAATGTTTAGCCTATAGCATTTACAACATTCTAGAGTCTGCTGAACCATTCTAAGAGTTTTACATTCACTATCTCATTTAATATTCTCAGTAACTCCGTGAGTAGGCACTACTATGATTCTCATCTTATAAATTAGAAAATTGAGGTTCAGAGAAATTAACTAAATTAACTTTTGAACCAAGGACAGAAATCTAGATGTCAGACTCTGAAGCCCATGCTGTGCACAGCTTCTCATTTATATTGCCTTTTCTATACTGCCCCTCAAACTGAAGTGAGAGTGCGTTGGGAATTCTTAACTAGATTTGGATGTGGCTGTAAATGAGTTTTTCTTTAGGTGGTGGGAATTGAATAAGTGCTCTTGGCCCTGTTAGAAGAACCCTGTAACTACTGACCCTGTTTAGTTTGGGCAAAAGAACTCAGCCTGGCTGGGCGCGGTGGCTCAAGCCTGTAATCCCAGCACTTTGGGAGGCCGAGACGGGCGGATCACGAGGTCAGGAGATCGAGACCATCCTGGCTAACACGGTGAAACCTCATCTCTACTAAAAAATACAAAAAACTAGCCAGGCGAGGTGGCGGGCGCCTATAGTCCCAGCTACTCGGGAGGCTGAGGCAGGAGAATGGCATGACCCCGGGAGGCGGAGCTTGCAGTGAGCTGAGATCCGGCCACTGCACTCCAGCCTGGGCAACACAGCGAGACTCCGTCTCAAAAAAAAAAAAAAAAATGAACTCAGCCTTATCCACTGATACTTTTCTCCCACTCCCAAGCCAAAAACAAAACCAAACAAAGAACAGTCATAGACCCTAAGCTAAAAGGAATGTGTGGATTTTCTGAAGTGCAGCCCTAATCATGCCATTTCCATGCTCAAAATCCAGAATATGTCCCCACTGCCAATAGCAATAAACTAAATGTTTCAACCTGGCACTCAGGATCCAGTTTGACTTTTCCAACCTTTTCTTCCACTCTGTGCATGTACACATCCCACACTCTAACACATTTAGACTGTGTGCTGTTTCCCAGCCCATGGACACTTGATTCCGTCGTGCCATTGCTCATGCCCCTTTTCCTATAGTCATTTTCCCTTCCCAGCCTCAAGTAGTTTCTTGCTTTTTCAGTTCTTAAAGCCCTTTGTGTTTCTCTTAGGGACTACATCACTTTGCATTATTCTCTAGCTATTTGAAGTGGTAACTTCTGTATCCTCTTTAAAGGCAAGACCCATGGCTTACCCATCTTTCCACCCTTTCCTCATAGTATCTTCTTTGTTTGTAGTGAGTGCCTCCTATGGGTTGGTTGTATTAATTTCTACTACCAGTCCATGTTGTTTTAGTTGCAGGAGAAAGAAGCATGGGAGCAAAAGCAGCTTGAGGGCCCTGGCAGGTTATAGCCTTTAGGGGAAGGTGTAGAATCTGGTGGCAGGAGCCAAGGAGATGTTAGATGGAGCTCCCCCAACAACTCTCCCCACACATCTCCCCATCCGCACCTCTTCTGTAGTCATGTGTAGTGTCTCGAACTTTAGTCCAGAACTAGCACACCAAAGGCTGCAACTGAATCTCTTCTGATTCACTGACAGGGCAACACATGGTCTCAGCTGCATGTTTGAGAGCTGTGTTGGCAAGACCTCAGGACAGAGTGCCCTCTGTGTCTGGTGGTGATTCTCAGACACCATCACATTCTGATCCTGCATTGTGGGCCCTTCTACTGACTACATCTACTCCTAAGTTAAGAACTTTCATGAGCCTTCCTCATGACTGGCCCTTTCTAAAGGAAAGTATGGCAGTTTGTGACTTCTATGAACAGTTCTCAATGGGTATGGAAGAGTCCATGAACTTTTTTTTTTTTTTTTTTTGGAGACAGAATCTCAGTCTGTCACCCCAACTGAAGTGCAGTGGTGCAGTCTCAGCTCACTGCAACCTCGAACTCCTGGGTTCAAGCAATTCTCCTGCCTCATACTCCCGAGTAGCTGGGATTACAGGTGCCCACCACCACGCATGGCTACTTTTTGTAGTTTTAGTAGAGACAGGGTTTCACCCTGTTGGCCAGGCTGGTCTCGAACCCCTGACCTCAAGTAATCTGCCCACCTTGGCCTCCCAAAGTGCTGGGATCACAGGTGTGAGCCACCAGCCTGGCCACCTTTTGAGTTCTGAACCAGTTGATTCAGTACCAAAGGTCTTCAACCCCTTGAAGATAGATTCAAGGACAGCCATTGTGAACAGCTTGCCCTAGGCAAAGGACAAGGCTAAGGGAATTCCAGGGCTTCCTTGTGAAAACAGAATTGGGGAAATGGAAAGCGAAGAAATTCTAGCTGTCAGGAACAAAAGAAGAATGACAGGAAACCTGCTTCTGAGGTATGGAGGTATTCCCCTTGTGTTTTCACATATACCATTCTCTCATGCCCAGGAACCTGCTCTTCACTACACCACAAACCTTCCTCTAACTCAGTCACAACTAAGCTTCTATCTGCACACTGCCAATGCTGTAACTGTTTTGTTGTTGGTTCTGATTAGTTGCCCTCTCAACCATAAGCAGCCTGTCAACAAGACCCGGCTCCATCCTTGTTACTTCCCCATCGCACTTAATTCAGTATTTTCCCCCCAAGGTAGATAGTGGTGAGGCAGCATCCCTCAAAATGTCTAGTAATATAATGGCATCCAGTAAATGTTTCCTTAATTATTTACTGCCCCTAACCTTTATGCAATTAAAAAAAAAAAGAAAGAAAAGAAAAAATAAGAATGCTGACTTTAAACTTTTCATCTCCACTTAAAGTAAGGCTTCTGTTGCTTTTCAGAATAGATATGTTGGATATTTTGCACAAGTGAAACATAGCTACAACTGGAATCTCCCTCCAAGAAAGACACTGTTTATAAAAAGATTCGTTATTTATTCGATTCATGGTAAGTGTTTATGTAAAATTGAAGAATTGGGCAGGAGGGCCAAGGTTCCCACTCTGGGAGGGTTTTGCTCATTGTTATATATACAGATGATCCTAACTCATACCTGTCTTTTTACATATCCTCATGCATAAATTCCTTCTTAATTGCCCATTGATTGCCAGCCCTTAGATGTTCTTCACTTTTTCTTTTCCAGCACCAATTTGGGGGACTTCATCACCCTCCCATCTCTCCTGTTCTCTTTCCTCCTCTGTTCGCAACCCAGAGTGGACTTTTCAGGGCAGAGTGAGCTTCTGATGAGGGAGGAGGAGGACCCCTGTGCCTTCAAGACTGGTTATTTCTCATAACCACCTCTAGTTCAGAGTTTGTCTTGGCGGAGGTGTCTCCATATCATATCATTTTCTCACCTTCTTTCAGAGGCATATTTTTTTCTCATCCCCCTGGGCTCTCTCTTTTCCCTTCTGTCCTCCATCTGTAACCCTCTCACTCCCAGCCACTCCCATACCTTGTGGCTCTCACTCCCAGCCACAGTGCTGGGGGTCAAGATAAGCCTCCTAAGAGGAGCACTTAGGTCCTCCCTGCCTGAATCTACATGGAAATGGAAAGGGTTGGGAGAAAGTGGGGCTCTATGGAGGTATCTTTCACCCCCCTAGCTGTTACCGAGTATTACCAGTTGTAAAAATCCATATAAACATCATGAGAGCTATTTGCCTGCTTCCAGAATGTAAGCAGAGAGATAAAGCTGGGATGCACTGTTGCCCAGGGAGGCAGGGAAATTGGTCAGATGTACACCTCTGGGACTTGAGAAAGAAAGTGCAGAGGGAAACTGGCCCCCATTTCCATGTCCATTTCTCCATCACCAACCTTGCTTCCCCTGCACAGCTTACACTCAGTAGAGGTGGGAAAGCAGGATGTGTCTGTGTGGAGGGGATGGGGTCTCACCACTCCCACTGCCAGAGAGGTAGCAGGGTGGCGATGCATCTGAACCCCTAAAGCAAACCTCTTATAACAGCCAGCATGTGGACCTGAGGTGGTGCCAGTGCTGGGCGTTACAGGTGCCATGGTGCCGGGCTGCTGGTGTCCACACAGACAGCCTAGTATTTTTAGCCTCCTGAGTTTTGTGCTACATTTCACTGATTTCTGGTGGACATCAATAGAAAGAAGTTCTGCACCTGGAATGGGAAAGAGGGAACTGAGGCAAGAAACTGTGATTTCTAATGACAAATTAATATCATGGTGTTAGTGAAAACAAAATTAAATGAAAAGAAGACAAACAGCATAGGAGATGATCAATCAAGAATAATTAATACACTCGTTTATTAGAATATTTAATTCTCTACTTTTAGTTTTGTGCATATTTAAATTAAAAATAATGTAGAGTTGAGAGGAAAGCAATAAAAAATTAATTGGAGCCTGAGAAACAGTCTTTGAGGAAATGCTAAGGAAGTGAGTAGGTCATTTGAATTGAAAAAAAAAAAAAAGGGCAAAAGAGCCTTTGTCTGTAAATATATACAGAATACCATGGGAATTTGATATAACCTGTGTTTTTATAGAGATTGCATCAGGAACTAGACTTAAAGTAGGGCCAAAGTAATTTAGACCACAGTATTTCTTATTAAGAATCATTATGATTAGAAGTTTGAAGAAAGCAAGACATTAGCAAGAAAGGTGTCAAGTCACCTTCCCATATATATATATGAGACAGAGTCTTGCTCTAAGTCTCACTCTGTGGTCCAGGCTGGAGTGCAGTGGTGCGATCTCGACTCACTTCAACCTCCACCTCCCAGGTTCAAGCGATTCTCCTGCCTCAGCCTCCCAAGTAGCTGGGACTACAGGCATGCACCACCACACTGGGCTAATTTTTGTGTATTTTTAGTAGAGACAGAGTTTCACCATGTTGATCAGGCTGGTCTCGAACTCCTGACCTCAAATGATCCACCTGCCTAGCCTCCCAAAGTGTTAGGATTACAGGCATGAGCCACCGTGCCCAGCTAATTTTTTCTCTTTTTAATCCATGATGTTAATTGGCAAGACATTTTGATCTTCGCGCTAACCAGCCTAACTTTTTAATTTCATTTAGGTGTTGGAACAGGCGATGGATATGATCTAAAAGTCCAAATAGTAATGAAGAAAAAGATTGTCTTTTCCTGTACTTCCTTAAACAATTGTCGGGTAAGAGAAAACATGTGAACTGAAAAAATCTGATGTTTGTTTTAAGGCTGAATGCCAAACCAGCAATGTTGACCTCCCTAAACTATCACTTACCATAAAGAGATTCCATGATGCTTTCTGGTTACCGTTGTGGTGTCACTGGATTTGAATGCAAACCAGAGGTAAATTAACCTGTTTGTTCAAAACAGTTTTTTTAGGGTACTTTCCAGAATGTATTTCTGTTCAGTGTTGCTTTGCCTTTCACTTTTCCACAAATGCTGAGCATGTTCCCAGGAATGTATTAAGGATTTTAATTTACATATCTGGTCATTTTTAGCCATATTCTCTTCTTCTCGGTCATTTTATCTTTTATTATATAGCACTGATTCTAAAATGTTAGTGTGCATGAAAACCACTGAGAAGCTTGTAAAGATTTACATTCCTGGGTTGTACCCTAAAGTAAGATTCAGGAAATCTGGAATGGGGGCCAGGAATCTATAGACTTAGCAGTGTCCCAAGTGATTGTTCTAAGTCAGAGGTTCTGTGGGGTTGACCCTATGAGAAACAATGCAAGGAGGAATGAATTGGGGAGGAATCTCTTTATCCAAAGCAAAAGGGACCTGGTAGTCAATGTTTTGCTACAGTGAAGAAATGCCTAAAACTACATACCTTTTCTGAAACAATAAAGCTTCCTTCATGGGTCTAATAACCATAAACTTTTAGAATTCCTACCCAGGCCTTTGTCTCAAATTCTTTTATTACTAATCCTATTCCCTCACTCTCTGCACTGCACCCACTTTTTTTGGCCTCTCCCAACTGAGGGCATTCACCCAGGCCTTATCCTTGGCTTCCTGTTCTTAGCAAATGCTTTATTCTTGGTTAAAGAATCACCCATTTCCCTTACTTAAACTATTATTTGTTCATTTACTGAAGAGATATTTATAGTCGCCCACTGAGTTGTAGATGCAAGAGCTGCAACATGAACAGTTTGCACTCCAACTGAAATGCAGTAGCCAGTCTGAATTATCAAGGAGCTTTATCTGCTTCTGCAAATGGCACCAGCATTCTCCCACTCAGGCCTTGGGCTTTGATTCTCTTTGCCTTGGCTCCCTAAATCCAGTTAGGCATCAATCCCTGTTGATGATGCCTTTGAAATTTTTCTATGCTCGCCTTCCTTTCTGTTCTCACTGCCACTAACTGTCCGGAACCTCATTTGCTCATGCCTAGATTTCTACAATGGTCTCCTTGCCTTTCTTGCTCCTTATAGAATGCGATGTATGGAATCCTGAAATACGCGTACTGAAATGTTGCTCTCATTGTGAAAAGTATGTAGAGCAGAAGACACACTGCATGCCCATGGTCAGAGCCAGTTAACACCTTTGGCTCAACATCCTTACCTGTAAAATAAATATCACACCTCAAGTATTACGGGAATTAAATTAGATAATATGTATGAAGTTGCTTTGTGAACTATAAATCACTAAATAAATGTTATATGTGATAATTATCAGGCCTCTTTGTCACATAGGAAATACACCATGATATTCTTCAGCAGCTTCACTCTTATTTCCTTGGCTCTTGAGCTCTTAAGATATAATAGACCTAACATACCTGAGCTTATTTTTATCAGTAGCTTGACCAGCAGACTCCATTCCAAATAAACTGGGTCATCCCCTTTGGCTCTTGGAACACAACTCTAAGTTATTTAGTTAGTTAGTTGGTTATTTCTTTCCTTTCTTCCTTCCTTCCTTTCTTTTTCTTTCCTTGAGTCAGGGTCCCATTCTGTCCGAGGCTGTAGTGCAGTGGCGCGATCAAGGCTCCCTGGAGCCTCAACTTCCCGAGCTCAAGCAATCCCCCAATTTTTAAAAATTTTTTGTAGAAGCTGGATCTTGCTATGTTACCCAGGGTGGTCTCAAACTCTTGAGCTCAAGCAACCCGTCCATCTCAGCCTCACAGAGTGCTGGGATTATAGGCATGAGCCACACTGCCTGACCTTTTTTGTTGTTTTTCTAACTTCTACTTTGCGTTATTGCTGGTCTTTTTCCATCTGTATGAACTAGATTCTATTTTCAGAGCTCTTCTTCATTTATCTAAACCGTTTCATGCCCAATTCAATTTCTGCCTCCTCAATGAAATTTTCTGCACTTCCTGTTAACTAGCCCTCAATGGTGCATGAGAGCACACCCAGTCTTCATCATACAGATTGAGAGTTACATAGTATTCTACGATTGTTTCTTATGTGTACAGCTCCCTGAAGGGACCAAAAGAGTCTGCACCTTCTTTTGTGTTTTTCACAGGGCCTAGCATAGACCCTTCTCACTGTGGGTGCCATTATTTATATGAGAGTGAGTCAAAGAAATAGTGTATCTTCAAAGTCATTCATTCCAAAACGTGAACTATCTTTGGTCACTCCTCCATCTGCAGCCTGTAATGGTCAAGTCCAAAGATCCCACTGACAGACACAAGAGTTCTAATAAAACATGATGATCAGGGGGACCCCACACCCCCAAGTGTTACAGACCCCCGTTGTTATTTTTTTTAATTTAGTAAATAAAAAGCCAGAGTTAAGCATTATTTTTTGAATGTCGAGGGTAGCTTTAAAATTGAGCTTCTTAACATATTCTCAAAAGAGGTCCTAATGTATGAAAATCAAATGACACTAAATAATAATATTATTCTGAAAAGTGAGACACTTTTGAAAAGTGCTTCATGATAACCCTCAAACATGTTGGCCTTTAAAAATCATAAACAACAGGCCAGGTGTGGTGGCTCACCTCTGTAATCCCAGCACTTTGGGAGGCCCAGGTGGGCAGATCACTTGAGGCCTGGAGTTTGGGACCAGCCTGGCCAATATAGCAAAACCCCATCTCTACTAAAAGTGCAAAAACTAGCTGGGTGTGGTGGCATGCGCCTATAGTCCCAGCTACTCAGGAGGATGAGGCATGAGAATCACTTGAACCTGGGAGACAGAGGTTGCAGTGAGCTGAGATCACACCACTGCACTCCAGCCTGGGTGACAGTAAGACCGTCTCAAAAAAAAAAAAAAAAAAAATATATATATATATATATACACACACACACACACATACATACACTACACACATACATATAAACAACAGTGTTGCAACTAGAAAAGATCATTAATAATTATTTATACATGTAGTGATTGGTCTGTGAGACCAAAAGTACTTGATAAATATAGGAAGTCTGGATAAGTGAAAAGGAACTTCATTGTTATCATTAGCTAGGTTTATAGTTCCGAATTCCATGTGTTCATTCACAGGTATTTCATGACACTGAAACAGACAGGGTAATAATTGATGTGTTCAACTGTCCACCTCTGTATGATGATGTGAAAGTGCAAGTTTCCTCTTCGGTGAGTAATCAAGAAATGGCCTCTGCCATTGTTCTTGTCTGAACTTTTGAATGGTTTTATTTAAGGTTTCCTTTACTACGGTTCCCAACAAGGGAGATGATAAATGTCATCCCATAGAGGAAGGGGGAGAAAAACAATACATCAGATCTATAACAAATTTTTTAAAAGAACATATGTAATTTGAATAATTTTTGTTCATTTGTTTTTTCTAAATTGTACATTTTCTAAATGTTTCTAAATTTACATGTATTAATTCACAAATCCAAAAAATACAAAATAAATACAAAAAAAAAATACAAGCCAAGATGCTAAAAAATCAAAGGTATGTTTTACTGCATAGCAGTGGTTACATTTTGTTTTGTATCATTTTTAATATTAAAAATTGAGACAGAGTCTCACTCTGTCACCCAGGCTGGAGTGCAGTGGCGTGACCATAGCTAACTGTGGCTTCACCTCCTGGGCTCAAGCAATCCTCCCACCTCACCCTCCTGAGTAGCTGGGAGCACTGACTGGAAAGAGAGTTAGGTTTGGGTGACTCAGTTGGGTGAAACACAGAGAAGGCAGCACAATACAACACATGAAATAACCAAAGCAGTTTTTTGTTAATTCTAAAGAGAAGAGGGCAGCACACCTCACAGGGCTAACTCCAAGGGGCAGCCATGCAGGAGACCTGTGCTCAACTGATGGGTGGGGAGCAAGAGCGAGAAAGAGGGAGGGACCTGAGAGTGGAAGCCTTTATTGGGAAGTAAGGTGTTACCTGAGCAGGTTTCCTGCGGGGAGGTCTAATCGGTGGGTTTAATGCAAGCAGTCATGAGTTCCATGGAGTCATGCTGTGACTGAGAGGTGGTCACTGATATATCCACACGGTCCATGCAGAGTATGGGGTTCTGTGGGGTGGTTATATCTAGCTGTCCGCAATGAAGTAGTCACCAGCAGAAGGTTGTATAAGGCAGATATTGGGATCAGTCACATTGAGAAACCGGGAGGAGGTGAACTGGAAACTGTCAAGGGTGACTGAGCCCTGCTTCTGATATCAGAAAGTGCAATTTATATTTAAAAGGGATGCTGAGGCAACAAAAAAAATTGTAAGAATTCACTACAAAATACTTGGGTATATATAAGCATCGGTCCTTAGTGGATTCTGTTTAGCACTATCTAAACCAGATTCAAATATCAGCATTTAAATATCTATCATGGAAAATACAGTATTCCCTGAAAATTTTGATAGAAACAGCAAAAGAAAGCAATAGCATTTTCTTAAGCCTCCTCCTTTGTGTCTTGAGTGTATTGTTATAGGATGCAGAATGCTACATATTGAATGGTTTTAATTATTTGATAAATATATAAAGGAATACAGGAAGAAACTTTAATTTCTTTGGAATGATCAGTTCTTGGCATCAATTTTACTTTAAAAAAATTTTTTTTCTTTTTAGGATTTTCCTAAATACTATCACAACTACCCTTTTTTCTTCTGGTTTAACACATCTTTAATACAAAATAACAGGTATGGATATAATATCAACCCAAAGAAACAACCTAATAATCTTCAATGTCTGTGTATAAGGTGTAATGGCAAGTGTTTTGCTGGTTGTCATAAGCTTAATTTATAGAAAACAAAAAAATCCTTGAGCCACCATTGTTCATTGCCTTACTCATTTTACGATGGTTATTTTAAAAATACAGTTGTTCTTGAGACCACCTGTTGCAGTGCCCTCAAGGTCCATGTCATAGGACTGTGTTATGAGTTCAAGAGTATTATAATCAGATCTTAAGTGTGGTAGTAAATTCCTCCCACAGAAGTTCAATATGAATCTGCTCAGTACCTTCAACATGTCAGGTCCTCAGTAGGTGCCAATTTACCAATGACGAACCACCACCAAATTTTGTGCTAAAGTAAGGGAGGACCTAGGGAGGCTTCAGCTAGCTGAAAAGCTGACTGACACACTTACATCTAGGAGAAGTTACAAGACACAATAAGTATTAAGAAATACAGCTAAAAAATCATCAATTGATAGTCTCCCATTTAAACATGGCTTTCTAATAACTGAATTGGGAAAACTTTCTTAAAAACTATTAATTGGAGGCTGGGCATGGTGGCTTATGCCTGTAATCCTAGCACTTTGGGAAGCTGAGGCGGGCGGATCACCTGAGATTGGGAGTTTGAGACCAGCCTGGCCAACATGGTAAAACCATGTTGGCTACTAAAAATAACAAAAATTAGCCAGGTGTGGTGGCGCATGCCTGTTATCCCAGCTACTCGGGAGGCTGAGGCTGTAGAATCACTTGAACCCAGGAGGCAGAGATTGCAGTGAGCCAAGATCGTATCACTGCACTCCAGCTTGGGTGACAGAGTGAGACTCTGTCTAAAGAAAGAAAAGAAAAGAAAAAACTATTAATTGGATTTGGAGATTATTGTTCCCAGAAAACCTTCTGCCATATTTGGAAACTTACTTCTCAGTCTAGAAGTTCTCTACTTTAAGTAGTATTTTTTCTGTGGTGGTGAAAAATTGAGATTTTTTTGTATCAACCATACTTTTCAATACAAAAAGAGAAAATATTTTTAAAATGCTTCAGGTCAGAGTTGAGGAAGTGGCTATGATTGCACGTGGCATGAATTGGTAGTTATTGTTACAACCAGTCCTAGTCTTTTCTTCAACTCTGAGCTGGATTTAATAACTCCTTAAGTCCAGTAAGGCAACGGTAAATTAAACCGCTGTTCTACACACTTGTATTGCATACACATTTAATAGATTTTGATAGAGTGAACTTTGGACTGGATGGAAAGTTTTTACAAATTTGTTTCTTGGATGCATACAAACAATAAGCTTTGACTCCTAACGTGAGCAAAGTCCCTCAAATGTGAGAGCTGGGTGGAGCTTCATTTGTTGCTGCTCCTCAAAAGTGATTCTGGTTTTCCTTTGAAACACCATGTTCATTTTGGAGAAGTAATAAGTTAGATCACCTTTATTCTCACTTTTATATAAATTTCTAAAGATTTCTGTAATATTTCAATTTATTTACTATTGGTAAAGCTTTTTGTTCGTTATGAGATTGTTGGTTAGCCAAAAATGCCAACTTCTGTCCTTTAGAAAACTAGGCATAAATAGGTTAACTAATTTATGCTTAGTGTTCTATTATTGGAATGCTAAGCATGTAGGATTTATTTATATCCTACTGCTCAAGGTCGTTGCCAAGGGCTGATTGCAAAAATTCAAAAAATTGCAACCTCAGGCATAAATTAAAATAGATATAGTACTTTATTATTGGGTTTTGATATATGTCTAATCAGACTGATTTCTGTCACATATAGAAATTTAGATAGTTTATTAAACCTAGATGTCATTAATTCCATAAAAAGCAACGTTAAAAGAATCAGTAGCACGTGTTACTGATGTGTTGCTGAAGATTAAGGTATTTTTAAGTCTCACTGAAAAGGTGGAAGGAGCCAACTGAGACACAGAAAAGGGGCTGAGGTTCTATTCATGGTGAGGAAGTCTTTTTTTTGTTTGTTTCTTCAAGCTCTAACAAGGGTGCCTACTGCATGGCTTTTCAGTTAGCCCCAAAATAAAATGTAATAATTTGTTTTCTATTCTTAGGCTTTATCTACAAAGAAATGAATTGGATAATCTTCATAAACAAAAAACATGGAAAATGTATCAACCACAATATGCAGTAGAGACGTATTTTGATGAGAAATGACTTAGTTATTTTGTAACTGGTAGCTGATTAAGTATAGTTCCCCACACCCCTTCTGGGAAAGAATTATTGTTCTTTCCAACCCTGCCACATAGTTATATGTTCTAAATCTTCCTTGCTGGTACATCTATATTGATATTTGTGTACACATGTTCTTTATAAATCTATTAAATATATACAGATAAAATGTCAGGGTTTTTTCTTTTTTGAAGGCATATATTTCACAGTTTCCATCTTGTATTTACATATATTTGGAACACAGTACTTAGGAACAGTAGGCATTATTTTGAAGAACTTTGAAATAGAACTTTCATACCAAAATAATCAAGAGATATTTAAAAATTATGATCCCCCAACACCCACTTACTTATACATTTTTGGTCAAGTATTTATTCCCTGCTTTGTTTCACATTTGTAATTTCAGATTTATTAGAAAGCTAATTTATATTTTTTCTTCTACTTGATTTACAAACTATCTGTTAACAGATTGGCAGCAAAGACTAAGTTTTAAACCCAGAAGAGAGAAATATTTCACACAACTCCCAACACACACTATTCGCTTGTTCTAAGCACTAAGTGGGTAGCTTACTTAACAAGCTTCCTTTAATTACACACAGACATGGGGGTTGGGGTAAGAAGATGGTAGTAAATATGAAGGATAAGTAACCTTCAGTAACTTCTGCTTTTGTATAAACTTGTAAGTGAAGTCAAAAGAAATATTTGTTCTTAGAGTAATTTAGGTGTATTGTTTTGAAATCCACTACTCCTGCTCACAACCAATGTCACCTAAGCCCTGGGAGAACTCTGAAGGGACGTAATCTTTTCATCATAAACAGTGGTTAGCCCTGTGTCCACAGGGAATCATTATTATTTCCTCATTGGTGATGACTGGTACTTTTTTATTAAAAACTTTTTTTTTTTTTTGAGACAGTCTAACTCTGTCACCCAGGCTGGAGGGCAGGGGCACAATCTCAGCTCACTGAAACCTCCACCTCCTGGGTTCAAGCGATTCTCCTATCTCAGTCTCCTGAGTAGCTAGGATTACAGGTGCGTGCCACCATGTCCGGCTAATTAAACGAAATTTTTTATTTGTATTTGTATTTTTTTGAGACGGGTTCTCACTCTGGTTGCTGAGACTAGAGTGCAGTAGTAGGATCTTGGCCCACTGCAGCCTCAACCTCCTGGGCTCAGGTGATTCTCTCACCTCAGCCTCCCCAGTAACTGAGACTATAGGTGCATGCCACCATGCTCGGCTAATTTTTGTATTTTTAATAGAGGCAGGGTTTCACCATGTTGGCCAGGCTGGTCTTGAACTCCTGACTTCCAGTGATCCACCCATCTCAGCCTCCCAAAGTGCTGGAATTACAGGCATGTGCCACCGTGTCTGGCCACTTTTATACCGTTAGCAAAATGCAGAGTAGTGGAGGAGGTTGTCTGAACCAGATCTGAGGAGTTGAAGGGTCAGAAATGTCTTTTTTTTTTTTTTTTTTTTTTTTTTAAACAGAGTCTTTCTCTGTTGCCTAGGCTAGACTGAAGTGTTGCAATCTCGGCTCACTGCAACCTCCCTCTCCAGATATAGGTGATTCTCCTGCCTCCGCTTCCCGAGTAGCTGGGATTACAGCTGCCTGCCACCACGCCAAGCTAATTTTTGTATTTTTAGTAGAGACAGGGTTTCACCGTGTTGGCCATGCTAATCTCAGACTCCTGACCTCAGGTGATCCACTCGTCTTGGCCTCCCAAAGTGCTGGAATTACAGGTGTGAACCACTGTGCCCAGCATGGTGAAATAATTTCAATACAAATTCTAAACAGAAGAAAATGATTGAACTGAAACCCCCTACGACATCCCCAGAACCTACACTAGGGTTACTGTCATGATAACTGCCAGTGGTTAGTGTTTACCATCTCCCCCTGGACCCGAGAGGAGTTCTTAAAGCTTCATCAAAATGCAAAAGAAGGCTTATGAAAAATTTTTTTTTTTTTTTTTTTTTTTGAGACGGAGTCTCACGCTATTGCCCAGGCTGGAGTGCAGTGGCGCGATCTCGGCTCACTGCAAGCTCCGCCTCCTGGGTTCACGCCATTCTCCTGCCTCAGCCTCCTGAGTAGCTAGGACTACAGGCGCCCGCCACCGCGCCCGGCTAATTTTTTGTATTTTTAGTAGAGACGGGGTTTCACTGTGGTCTCGATCTCCTGACCTTGTGATCCGCCCGCCTCGGCCTCCCAAAGTGCTGGGATTACAGGCTTGAGCCACCGCGCCCGGCTGAAAAATTTTTAAGAAATGCATATGGCTATCCAGTTTTCCCAATACTGTTTATTAAATAGGGAATCTTTTCCCCATTGCTTTTTTGTGTCAGGTTTGTAAAAGATCAGATGGTTGTAGATACGTGGTATTATTTCTGAGGACCCTGTTCTGTTCCATTGGTCTATGTATCTGTTTTGGTACCAGTATCATGCTGTTTTGTTTGCTGTAGCTTTGTAGTATACTTTGAAGTCTGGTAGTGTGATGCCTCCAGCTTTGTACTTCTTCCCTAGGATTTCTTGTCTCTGTAGGCTCTTTTTAGGTTCCATATGAAGTTTAAAGTTGTTTTTTCCAATTCTGTGAAGAAAGTCAGTGGTAGCTTGATGGGGATAGCATTGAGTCTATAAATTACTTTGGGCAGTATGGCCATTTTCACGATATTGATTCTTCCTATCCATGAGCATGCAATGTTTTTCCATTTGTGTCCTCTCTTATTTCCTTGAGCAGTTGTTTGTAGTTCTGCTTGAAGAGGTCCTTCACATCCCTTGTGAGTTGTATTCCTAGGTATTTTATTCTCTTAGTAGTAATTGTGAATGGGAGTTTACTCATGATTTGACTCTCTGTTTGTCTATTATTGGCGTATAGGAATGCTTGTGATTTTTGCATATTGATTTTGTATTTTGAGACTTTGCTGAAGTTGCTTATCAGCTTAAGGAGATTTTGGGCTGAGACGATGGGGTTTTCTAAATATACAATCATGTCATCTGCAGAGACAATTTGACTTCCTCTCTTCCTATTGGAATACGCTTTATTTCTTTTCTTTTCTTTTCTTTTTTTTTTTTTGTGACGGAATCTCGCTCTGTCGCCCAGCCTGGAGTGCAGTGGTGCGATCTTGGCTCACTGCAAGCTCTGCCTCCCGCATTCACGCCATTCTTCTGCCTCAGCCTGCCCAGTAGCTGGGACTACAGGCGCCAGCCACCATGCCCAGCTAATTTTTTTTTTTTTTTGTATTTTTAGTAGAGACGGGGTTTCACCGTGTTAACCAGGATGATCTCGATCTCCTGACCTCGTGATCTACCCACCTCGGCTTCCCAAAGTGCTGGGATTACAGGTGTGAGCCACCGCACCCAGCCAGAATACCCTTTATTTCTTTCTCTTGCCTGATTGCCCTGGCCAGAATTTCCAATGCTATGTTGAATAGGAGTGGTGAGAGAGGGCATCCTTGTCTTGTGCAGGTTTTCAAAGTGAATGCTTCCAGTTTTTGCCCATTCACTATGATACTGGCTGTGGGTCTGTCATAAATAGCTCTTATTATTTTCAGATACGTTTCATTGATACCTAGGTTATTGAGAGTTTTTAACATGAAGGGGTGTTGAATTTTGTCAAAGGCCTTTTCTGCATCTATTGAGAAAATCATGTAGTTTTTGTCATTGGTTCTGTTTATGTGATGGATTACGTTTATTGATTTGCGTATGTTGTGCCAGCCTTGCATCCCAGGGATGAAACCGACTTGATCGTGGTGGATAAGCTTTTTGATATGCTGGTGGATTCGGTTTGCCAGTATTTTATTGAGAATCTTTGCATCCATGTTCTTCAGGGATATCGGCCTGAAATTTCCTTTTTTCTGTTGTGTGTCTGCCAGGTTTTGGTATCAGAATGATGCTGGCCTCATAAAATGAAGTAGGGAGGATTTCCTCTTTTTCTATCGTTTGGAATAGTTTCAGAAGGAATGGTACCAGCTTCTCTTTGTACCTCTGGTAGAATTTGCCTGTGAATCCATCTGGTCCTGGACTTTTTTTGGTTGGTAGGCTATTAGTTACTGCCTCAATTTCAGAACTTGTTATTGGTTTATTCAGGAAGTCGACTTCTTCCTGGTTTAGACTGTGGAGGCTCTATATGTCCAGGAATTTATCCATTTCTTCTAGATTTTCTAGTTCATTTGCATAGAGGTGTTTATAGTATTCTTTGATGGTAGTCTGTATTTCTGTGGGATCAGTGGTGATATCCCCTTTGTCATTTTTTAATTGCATCTATTTGACTCTTCTCTCTTTTCTTCTTTATGGGTCTGGCTAGCGGTCTATCTACTTTGTTGATCTTTTCAAAATACCAGCTCCTGGATTTATTGATTTTTTGAAGCGACTTTCGTGTCTCTATCTCCTTCAGTTCTGCTATGATCTTAGTTATTTCTCGTCTTCTGCTAGATTTTGAATTTGTTTGCTGTTGCTTCTCTAGTTCTTTTAATTTTGATATTAGGGTGTCAATCTTAAATCTTTCCTGCTTTCTCTTGTGGGCATTTAGTGCCATAAATTTCCCTCTACACACTGCTTTAAATGTGTCCCAGAGATTCTGGTGTGTTGTGTCTTTGTTCTCATTGGTTTCAAAGAACATCTTTATTTCTGCCGTCATTTCGTTATTTACCCAATAGTCATTCAGGAGCAAGTTGTTCAGTTTCCATCTAGTTGTGCGGTTTTGAGTCAGTTTCTTAATCCTAAATTCTAATCTGATTGCACTGTGATCTGAGAGACTGTTATGATTTCCGTTATTTTGCATTTGCTGAGGAGTGTTTTACTTCCAGTTATGTGGCCAATTTTAGAATAACTGCGATGAGGTGCTGAAAAGAATGTATATTCTGTTGACTTGGGGTGGAGAGTTCTATAGATGTCTATTAGGTCTGCTTGGTCCAGAATTGAGTTCAAGTCCTGAATATCCTTGTTAATTTTCTGTCTCGTTGATCTGTCTAATATTGACAGTGGGGTGTTAAAGTCTCCCACTATTATTGTGTCAGAGTCTAAGTCTCTTTGTAGGTCTCTAAGAACTTGCTTTATGAATCTGGGTGCTCCTGTATTGGGTGCATATATATTTAGGACAGTTAGCTCTTCTTGCTGCATTGATCCCTTTACCCCTTCCTTACACCTTATACAAATAATCAACTCAAGATGGATCAAAGACTGAAACAT